GGTAATACAGGATGAGTAAACCGGGGAACAGTGAGCAAAATGTGATAACACCAGAGAGTTGCATAACATTAACTTTATTGGAGTACTCAAATAGAATTTATGGGTAAACAATAATCTCAAGTTCAAAAATGCTCTCTGAATGCACATTGTAACGTGAGGTCTAAACCTAAGGGATGTGTCAAGAATTACGCCTAGATTCTTACATTTATCCACAAATGGGATGGCCAGATTATTAATGTGCATTCTGGGCATTTGGGATTTTGTTAACTTATTACTAAATAACATGGCATTACACTTAGTGGGATTAAGCTGCAAAGCATATTTTTGGCAAAAATCGCGGGTAACTTCCAAGTCGTAGTTGATTTTCTCAAAAGCCTCGTGATGTTGCTTAAATTAAGGCTAGGTTTACAAACAAACCTTAAAAAGAAGAAAACTAAGATTTATCATTTTGGTTTTCATGCGAAATAAATGTTTCTAATTTTTTTTAATACGAAAACGAAAACTGTGGATTTGAATGTTCTTGGTATACCAAAAATCAATGAATAAACTTAAATTTTACACAATTTGATTTGACATCTGATGATTTGACGTTGAAGTTGAAAGATGGAGATAGAGCCAACTTAGAGATGAAAAGTTACCAAAAACAATGTTACAATGAAAGTCATTGTAACACTGTTTTTGCCGAAAACAGTTGTACAAAATTCTCATTATAGTACCGAAATAGAAAAACAAATTTCTAAAATGCGACCTAAGTGTATTAAAATGTTAGGTCGCATTTTAGAAATTTGTTTTTCTATTTCGGTACTATAATGAGAATTTTGTACAACTGTACAAAAGTGTACAATAGTATATTGAAAGACAAGTGTTACAATGCGACCTATTGTAATACGACTATCTTGTGGCACGAGTGGCGACGCGAAGGGTAGCCACGAGTGTCCGCAAGATAGGAGTATTACAATAAAGCATTGTAACACGCGTTTTTCATACTATTTTTTCTATTTCGGAGCTTTAATTTAATTAAAAAAATCACTAACAGAAACTATAGGGAACATTAGAACTAACATGTTTTAAGTTGGGAACACTTTTTATGCCGTTAAGTTTTAGGTTGGCAGCGTAGTAAGACTGACATTTTGAAGTTCAAATATGGAAGTACCCAACGAAGTACCTACTTGTACTAACTAGTAACTGCCAACTTAAGATAAGAGTTACCAAAAAAAACGACTATAATCATTGTCTTTGTACAACTGTTTTTGGCTGAAAACAGTTGTACAAAATCATCATTGTGACACCGAAATAGAAAAAAGTGTATTAAAATGTTTTAAACTATGTACTAACCTTGTAGACCAGAGTTGGACTGGGTCAAGCATAGAGTGACCCGGTGACTCAGTTGGTTTACTGACCCGGTGACCCAGTTTGACCCGGTGACCCAGCTTGACCCAGTTTGACCCGGTGACCCAGATTGACCCGGTGACCCAGCTTGGCCCGGTGACCCAGTTTGACCCTGTGGCCCAGCTTGACCCGGTGACCCAGTGACCCATCTTTACTCGGTGACCCATCTTGACCCGGTGGCCCAGTTTAAACCGTTGACCCCTAGATTGATCCAGTTGAATCCGGTGACCCAGTAATTAAATTATTGTTAGGTATCATCCTGTGAGGAAACGAAATTAAGGGTGAGGAAATAATCTGCCCAAAACCAGTAAATGAGATTTCCCCCAGATATTTCCACTTAATTTCGCCCCTCCTAATCGTCTTCCCCACCAGATCTCCAAGCTATATATACCTGTGTCAGTCCAGTGTTTGTAACTTTTGCTTCTATCTTTACCAGTGCCTTTTGCTATTAACCAGCCTTATTTACCTGTGATTTATTCCTATATAATTTGTACCCTTAACCGTCGTTCCAGTACCTGTAAAACCTTTGTTAACCTGCACCCCTGTCGTTCCCTGTGTTGAGTGTGTTGCCGTTAGCCCTAGGGGGTTAATCGTAATTAGCGGTCGAGGTGAGTGAGTGTTTATAGTGTCATTAAAACAACAATCTTTCAACCCTTTATTAAACGTGCAAGCTGTTACCTTTATTACTCTGACCAGTTCCACAACAAGTATTCCGCAAGATTACCAGCTACTCTCCATACGTTCCTACCTGTCCGTGTCTTCAAAACGAAATCAGAGCGTGACTCCTGGTTTTATACGAAGTACACCTCCGTAGTATCTTCCCGTCGCCCCGTCCTGCCTGAACCTGGGGCACAGTGCTCCGGCCTACGTTAACCATAAGGGGCTGAAAGCCGTCACGAGAAAGGTTAGTTGTTACAGTTCGAACACTCACCCCGCAGGTTCTGTTGGTTACCTCGTTCGGGTGGCGCAGCCCTCAATCCCGCATCAATTAATTTGTTACATTCTAGACAGCACTGCACGTGGAAATTAACCTACAGTCCGACACGAAAACGGCATTGACAGCAAACCAGCTGACACGCTGGGGCCAGATAACTACCGGCAGATGGCAGTACTCCCCAAGTAAATACGAGGACTGCTCCGGAAATCTTTTATATTATTTTATTTTGTATATATATATGTTTATTTCTATTTAGCCAATACACTTTTAATTTTCTTTGCTCGCCAATTATTTCCCGACGCTACCCGAGGCTGTGGGCAAAAGCCGGAACGTACCCAGGGTTGCTCACAATCCAAAACAATTTCAAGTAACTTTTAATTAAAGAAAAAACTCAATAATATTCGCCAACAAGCACGTAGCCCAATTTCATTCAAAAGAACTAATAGCTAAAAAATCAAATGCATTTGTTTATAGTTTGTAGTCAAGTAGTCAATGAAAGTATTTAGAGAAAAGATTTATTTGGATTAAGCTAACTAGTAGAAAAAAATTAAATGTGAATGAACACCTGTAAGCAACTGGTAAGCCTTGAAGCAAAGAAATGAAGGAGGGAACTGTTTCGAAATAACATTACTATAATACAATTCGGGACATGGACAGTTTTTTACGGCAGTATTAAAGCAAACAGAAATGGCAGTTGTCAAGCAATCCAGTATTATTTTCAACAAACCAGCATTAAGTTTCATTTATTTCATAATCTGTACACTTGAACGGAGGGCACTGACTTAACTGCGTTATTCGATCAAACTAGATTACTGGGTCAAATTGGGTCCCCGGGTGAAATTGGGTCACTGGGTCAAACTGGGTCACTGGGTCAAACTGAGTCACTGGGTCAAATTGGGTCACTGGGTCAAATTGGGTCACTGGGTCAAACTGGGTCTAACTGAAAAGAGTATGACGTGACCCAGTGACCCAGTTTAATTCAGTGACCCAAGTGACCCAGTTGACCCAGTGGCCCAGTCCAACTCTGTTGTAGACCGATAAATTCAAAATATGTTGAACATGTATGTTAGGCGAATATATCTACAGTCAAAACTGTAACATGGCTTTTCACAAAAAATGTTGGACATCCTAAACGGCAACAATCGGATTTCGTTTCTTGAATTAACGGAGGGTTTTTCGCATGGAACGTAGGGTTGCAAAAACTATATCAGAAATAATCAATTCAAACATTTGTTTGAGGTAGACAGAAGTAGGAGTAGATAGACACCTAGACCGAATTACCCCTATATTTTTCCTTTAAGCAAAGCTTCTTCGTCAATGTTGAGATCCTGAACTGGCCTAGCAATTGCAATAGAAACGCTAACACAAACCTTTCCTTAGAAGCCCCTTTCCAAAGTGTTTCTCGAGATTAAAAAATTACAGGGATCTTCTTCCTCTTAGATGCTGTTTTAGATAATTTCTTCAAAATCGTCCTGTAAGTTGTAGGGAAAAGGGGGGCATAACCGGAAGAGTAAAGTTACATAAAAACTTAAAAAAAACGAAAAACCTCTTCATATAACTTGTTATAGACATACTAGGTATAGAAAACAAATATTAAACAAAATAACTCTTACCAAATAACAAAAATGATCAAAGTCCTCGTCTGAGATCGAAGGGACTTCAGCGCATTTTTTTATTCCCATTGTTGGTATCCACTTCCGACGTCCCGTTCACCAGCAATTCGCATTTTGGTAAATTTCTTTAAAAATGCTTCACAAAATAGTACCCAATTTTTGGGGCCGTTCACCCGCAATTCGAATTTTGGTAGATTTCGGTAAAAACCCTCCAGAAAATAAGACCGCGATTCCAGTTTTTAAGAAACTTTTGGGCGCTTGAGGTTACTTACCCCTGGAAGACGCGCGGTGGTTAATTTTGCACCTATGAAAAAAAAATAAAAAATCCGTCCGACAGGAGTTGTGCGCGTTTACAAGATCTTTCCAACGACACCAACCTGAAAATAATAGGACCAAAGCTGTAGAAAGAAAAATCACCACATAAGTAAACGACGCTCGGTGATGGCGCCCAGATGTACCTAAACTTGTTAATTACACGACCCCGGTAGGTTCATGTACACGCGTCGTCTTTCTACAAACGTTCTTCTACTGGCCCGCATTTACCGCCAGCCAGCCAGCCAGCAAAAGTGAGATTAAAAGCTACCTTTTTACAAATAAATTTGCAAAAATGCGCTAAAAAATATTGCTTTCTGTGAACAGTCTCTATCCGATTTTGCCCCCACCGTTGGGGCAGAACTGGTCCCGACTTGGAGCAATATCGGACAAAATATAATTAGGACTGAAATGCAACTAAATCGACTTCTCTCAAGCCAGTGCAACTTTCATGGGCGTTTGTGCATTTCACGCATTGCGCCTACCCATCATCTTTTTTTTTTGTTGTCATCATCAGAACTCTTCTTCTTTATTTCTTCGTATTCTTCTCCGTTTCCTCTTCATTCTGGCGATCACAACTGAAAACTTTTGTTTTTTTGTTTTTTGCCTTCTTCTGTTTTGCTTTTTCTGCTTGTTCCTCGACTTGTTCAATTTTTCTTCCAACTTATTTTTATATGGCGATCTTGTGAGAATGATCATTTTACCTCGTTTACGACAATTTGGTTTCGCTAATATCAAAGCTTGTGGTACCGGAAACAGGTCCTTTGACGATTTTGAAAATGTCGAAGGACAAGGCACCGGTGCAAGGTGCAGGCACACAGGTGTTAGTTAATAGTGAATCATCAATGGGGCAGAACCGGAAATAGAAAATTTTGCCCGTCCTATTGTGCCCCACGGGACTTCTAATATGAACATTTATCAAAAACATCGCAAATTTCTCTTTATATAGATTAGAGGTAGTAATATAACCGTATATAATACGTCTGTTGCGCGGTTCGTTCGGTTCTTATTGAATTTTTTTAATTTGAACAGTACAATAAACAAAAGGAAGAAAGCAAAAGACTTAAATACAGTTAAACCCCAAAGGCAAAAAGATGCAAAAGGCAAATGATTTTCTAAATTAAGCGTTTACCTTATATAAAGCTCCCAAAATACGGAGAGGGAACGTAGGAAACTTGCCGGCGTATTCGTTTAATACTGTCCAAAAATTACAACTTCTTTAATTATACGCCCGGCTGACGGCCTAAAAACCTGTAATGGGTCCCAAAATTCAAATCAATTAAGAGGGCTTCTGTTGATGCCCCACGTGACTATATGGAATGACGTTTACTGAATTTATGTTAATTTCACTTAGGTACTTAATTAAGCGGAAGTAGAAATCTACAAGCGGTAGTCCCTATTGTTATATAACACCTATTGTTAATTGCATTGCTATCAAGCTAATAACCGCGTAAACATGCATGGCCTTGCGGTTCCAATGTTCTAAGAAACAGAAACCTAATAATGACTTAATGTGCCTGAAATTCTAAAATCATAATTTGCTCGCTTCGTCTAAATGAGAAGATCTTTCGGATGCAACAATTAAAATATCTTGACGAGAACGGTTGCAAACGGCGGATTAGTTGCAGCGTTAATTACGGTAGCGGCGGCTGAAGCACAGCTCTAACAATTAAATCAATTACCTTGAGCTTCTATCTTCAACTCTTAGAACCAAAACGACATTTTCGTACCGAAGCGCCTCTTTATACCGGGCGTTCATACACAGAGTGGTCATCAAAACTGGTGGAAATTGGGTGCTGCGTTACAATAAATCAAACATATTATACCAATCGTTCGTAAGTTTAAGACACCCGAAACTCGCCCTGTAAATGATAATAAGCTGTTTATATTACCGGTTTTGAATTCCTTTTCGATTGTGGTATCGCAGGCGACTTGAGGAACCCTTGGCTTAGAGCTACTGATACCTGCAGCTTAATAATAAATAAATTGTTTCTACCCTTGACTAGTAATAGTGCTGGATTTCTAGTACGTGGTATGATTTCCTGCATGATGATAAGCGGAAAATTCTTAACGATGTAACTGGCAAAAACGAGCAAAAATCTACGACGAAAATGTACAACGATGATTCCTAAATTTTTGCTTTACACTTTTCTGTATTTTGTTTAATTCGACTTTACCTAACTGTAAAATAGCTTTACGTTTAAATTGTGTGTTATGGTGTTTTTCCTATCTACACTTTCCTTATATCGTTTTAATCGGTCTGTATACATTGATAGTTGTTTTGTGAGTGTTCGTTGTAGTTTGTGTTTTGTTCTCGTATGGTGAAATAGTTTAGTTTTACAGTTAGGTTATTATTATTATTATTATCTATTTTTTTAAATAGGTTTTGGTAAAGATAACTGAGGTCTTACGTCATTTTATCATAATGATGCGCACCATTTTATACCTCAAACATATTGTTATGTAAACTCAGGTGAAAACTACGTCATGTGAATAATTTTATTGGTATGAGCACCTAAAGTTATGTTGGGTCACCCTGTATGAGTTAAATTTTAATTTGTTAAGGTTAAGTGCGGTTGTTAATTTGCTTTAAATACAAATTATCCGTTTTGAATGATTTATTGTTCAGTTGGATTACCTTAAGGAAGATTAGGGCATATGGAAATAATTCCGTTAAGTGTTTTTTAAAACTTTATCCCACTTAAATCTGGTCTCACGATAAGGAATTCGTTATTTCTCCGTGAAGGTTAATTAATTTGAAAATCAACAACCGCATATTCAAGTTAGACGAGAGTGGTAGCCGGCCGTCTTTTTTAGTGGACTTGAGTGTTGTGCAGCAGTCATGACATAATTGAGGCTTTCATTAGGGGTTTTCCAAGTATTCCAAAAAGTCAATATCACATTTTAAATCACAACAAAACCAATCAGTTAAACAAACTCATAGTTATGACCAGATGTTAGGAATATATTAAGATTTAAAGGTACCTAATTAGAATGTTCTTTTAAATTTGATTTGTTTCAATCGATCGCATGTGCGTGGTACTTTGTTTATAGGCCATGAGTGGCTTTCCTTCATACAGGTTTATTGATTGATTTTTTTATCGAATAAATTTATGGCGTGTATAAATAATCAACTGTGTACTTAATCGAGTCCACATTTAGTTTTTCCATTTGTACCCAGAATTATGTTAGGTGTTAATTAAACATGTTTTAAATAACTCTTTGGAATTGTAAGGAGTTGATCAGGGCTGCTGAGTTTCCCGAATTAATAAAGTCTTCATCGCTTCTTCATTTTTGAAGATGAGATAGAAG